CTAGTAAAGATTATAGTAGTATAAAATATAAAGATTAAAATTGGGATAATAATAATCTTGTATATTTCTTATAGAAAATATTTCTAATAATATTTAGAAAATATTATAGATATTTTCTATACACAAAATGATATTAATAGAACATAAAAGAAATTTTCTCTCACTAGAAATATAATGGCCGAAAACCCTTAAAAAAAAACCAAAATGATAATCTTCCCCATGCCATTATATTGTAATAGCCGTGTGATTTAAAAACAAAAGAGTAATCAAAATTTGTCATTAAGCTAAAAGTTAAACTAATTAATAAACTTTGTCAAAGATTGATTTTGTGATATTTTAAATCACTTTGGCCGAAAATTTTGATTGTGAGAAAGATTTTCAAAATTTTTCTCCACTCAAATGTTCAAAGTGTATTTTATTTGACACCAAAAATTAATATAAAATTAATTTTAAATCAAATAAAAATACCAATATCATTTTTAAACAAGTATACAAATATACTTTAAATAGTTTATGTCAAAATAATTATTTTCATAATTAAAATGATAAACCAAAATAAAATATTCAATATATAATATATATATATATATTAATCGGTACACATATATAATATATATATATATATAACCGAATATTTATATATATAATATTATATTCCAAAATATTTTATTTTACTATTTTTACAAATATACAAATTACTTATTATCCCATTGTTTAATCTTACTCCTTAAATTGTCCAAAGTGTGTGACCCGTATAGGCACTTATAAAGCTGGCCATAGTATTGGCTCTGCACCAATACTATAACCAATAAGCGGTATCTAGCAACACATTATTGCCCCCCAGATTATAAGTTAAGACGTTTGCACCGTCAAAACCTTTCCACGACACAGACTCCGTGTAACTGTATCCCTTTGTCTCAATGTCTAAACTTAATGCAAGGGATTAATAAAATCCAGCTTGTATCCATTAAGTCATTCACTGGTTTATCAAGTCTGACTAATAGGAACAGACGTCATAAAAGCATCTCAGCATGGCCATGCCGTTTCCTCAGTCATGACTTATCAGTGGGCCCCATAAGACATTAATCTCTTTAAAAAGAGTAGTGACAAATCGTATGTACGTAATCTACGTTTCTGAATACGCGCTGCGGCATACCCAAAACAAAGCCTGTATACCATCCTTATTTCATATGGCTTAGGACAATGCATCAAAGTATGCGGGTTCACATATGCAGAAAACGTAATACTTCAAGTCGAAGGATAGTTACACCCGTGGTCGCACTAAAGATGCTTAGAGCATGAACTAAAAATTCAAGCAACATCTTTAGAATGGGTCAGTCCGGCATCCTATTATCTCTAGATAATATCTGCCCATGTGCGGATGCGAACACACTGTCATTGACTATGAGACTAAGTCAAACATCCAACACACACTAGTCTCACATGCATTAACGATATCCCACTCTCGTTAATACTCGACTATGGACATTTAGATAAATATTTATTTCAAGATGTTAGTCTCATCAGCAGAAAAACACTATCTGATAAACATCTTTTAAATATAAATCTTGGAATATAATATTTGTTTACATTAGCATGAGATGTGTAAACATATTATATCTGCCTATACATGATAGAATAACGATAAACAGTTGGCCATCAGGGCACAACTCCAACAATACTTTCCCCCTGGTTTGATGAAAAAAACCTTCATTGCTTCTTGCGCTTTGAAGATCCGGCAATCTCCCTGATGCCTTGCATGTTTCCACATAGTTCTTTGATGCGCCTTATGTTGTTGCGTCTCTCCTCTGTTTGGTTTTCATTTGAAAAGTGAGCAGCAATTGTTCCTACAGCCTCTGTTCCATCCAATCCTGAGCTGGATAGGTGCTGTGTTGAGTTTTCCGGATTACTTCTCTGAGTGTCAAGGATTAGATCAGTCAAATTCAGATGCGTAGGAATATAAGAGACTTCTCCTTCTTTGACTGCAATAGGGAGATCTAGAATCAAGGATGGACTGTGTTGTTGAAGAACCACTTCCATCTTGCGATTTCCAGAATTTGTGGTAAGAAGTCTGAATAGTTTGCGTGCTTCCTTCTGATTGTCAATGATTACCTTCAAGTAGTCTTTGGTTACTACTGTTGGACAATGTGCTATCATGAATATATAGATTTGCAATGTCCTTTGCCCATTGACTTTTAGGTTTTGATAATGACAAAAGGGTGACAAAACATCATCATCATATTGTGCATCAAGGCTAAGAATCAAAGCTACAACAAGTTCATATCCGTCCGTGAAGAAGGGACTTGAGCATCGGTGGAAGGAACGAGACCGAAGAGGTTGTTTCCTTAGTTGGGTATTGGTTTAGGTCTTAGATTTTGTTTAAAGAGTATGGCATCTCTAAGGTTCATTCCCTTATCATCCTACCTTTAAAACACATTTTTCAGGAAACTATTCGAATAAGTTGAAAACTATTCGAATAAATCCCTGAACTTCTATTCTGACTTAGTTGAATAAATCCTGCGAATTTTTTGTTTAATCTTCCAAAAGTTTTGATTTTTGAAGAACACCTCTATTCACCCCCCTCTAGAGGTGCGTACGTTGTTGAACAATTGGTATCAGAGCAAGGGATTTTCTAAGCTTTACCGCTGAAAATTTAAAAAGATCATGGCCAGAAGAACATTTCAACCCAGAGTTGCCGAAGGACAATCCACGACAAGGCCACCACTCTTCGACGGTACAGATTATGCATATTAGAAGGAAAGAATGAGAATATTCATCCAATCAAATGATTATGATTCTTGGTTGGTGATCAAGCATGGAGAGATGGTTCGCACGAAGATTGTTGACGGGGTTCTTGTCCCAAAGTTAGAGACCGAATATATCTCAAATGACAAGAAGAAGATGCAACTAAATGCAAGGGCCATCTACTTTCTATATTGTGCCGTGAACCCGAATGACTATCAGAAAATCTCATGGTGCAATACGGCCAATGAGATCTGGAACAAATTAGAGGTCACATATGAAGGAACAAGTCAAGTGAAGGACTCAAAGATCGACTTACTCACCCATGAGTATGAGCTTTTCATGATGATGGAAAATGAAACAATAGATGGCATGTTCGAGAGATTTTCAACTATCGCCTCAAATTTGGATACACTTGGGAAGCATTATGAGGATCATGTTCTCGTTCGAAAAATCCTTCGAAGTCTCACACCGGAATGGAAGTCTACGGTCAGCCCTATCAAAGAAGGCCGAGATTACAATACATTGACATATGACGCACTTCGAGGTAAACTACTCACTTATGAAATGTCTAACTTTTCTAGTGCAGCGGAGATCAAAAGGGATCAAAATCTATCATTCAAAGGAGTTGCACTCAAAGCTTCATCGTCAAAATATGTCGATACAAGCGGCTCTGGAGAAAGTGACATTCTCGAGTTATTTAATTACTTATTGCAAAATGAGCTTGAGCAATTGAATGAGAGTACAAAGCCTACTTGCTATGGATGTGGAGAGCGTGGACATATCAAGGGTCATTGCCCTAAACGAAAATTCAAGAAGTCCAAACGCCAAAAGCAATCCAACACTAGCTCCTCTTCCTTATCCGATGATGAAGTAGTCATTTGTCTTATGGCTCAAAGTAAACTAGCAGAGGTAAGTTCTTCTAACGATCCTTTTAGTTTTGAAAAACTACAAGAAGCATTTGGTGATTTATTTAAAGAATTTAAGAAAGTCTCATCTATTACCAAAGATTTGGAATATAAAATCACCCTTTAGTCGAATAAATCGACAATTTATTCGACTAAAGGGTGATTTTATAAACAAGGTAACCATCATATGCTGGGGTATTTATACATACACGGGGAGGAGGTAAAGTCTAGATAAACAAGGTAACTAGATATTCTAAATACTAAGAGTAATATATCTGACACATTTAACAGTCCCCTTAGATATATCATCGTTCATTATACACTAACAACATTATCATATGGGATAATGTTGGTTAGGTTCTTCAAGACCTATATTCACTAATATGTTAGAATAGGTGCCCTTCACTAGAGGGGGGTGAATAGTGAGGCACGAGAATGTTTATAAAATTTCGTGGAATAAAAATCGCAAGGATAAAGTAAAGAGCGGAATAAAAAGGAGTAAAAGGAGAACACCAAGATTTATACTGGTTCACCACCATGTGTGGCTAGTCCAGTCTCCCGAGAGACTCTCTCGAGCTACACTACTTCCGTTAAGCTTACGGGTGCTTAACAAACAGTTACAACTTGAGAACTTGAGTCCCACGAGCCTCAATACACTTGCTCGGAGATACCGCACTCCAAGACTTCAACCCGAAGGAATATGCCCTTCCTTCGTACAACTAAGGGAACAAACCTCCCTTAAAGTGTTCACAACACTTAACCACTCAAGAACAAAAACTCTCTTAAAGAGTAGAATATGAGTAAACTAATTTAGATCAAAAACACACTCAATTCCTCAAGAAATGGCTCTAAAAAGCTATGTAAAAAGTCTATGGAATGATGCAATGTAAAGCTATGAAATGTGTGACGAATGGATGTAAAAGTAGACCCAAGATACCCCTTTTTATACCCAAAAACAAGGTGCAACGGTTGGGAGAAGATTGGGGTTGATTGGCTTGGTTTGTGGAAATCAAATAAAAGTGGATCTACTGAAATCTAGCCCGACAGCGCTGTTCATATAGTGAGCATCACTATTTTGGCTTTGACTTTCCTTTAAAAATGTCTAACGGTAATAAAAACATCGATGTCTAGAAGTCTACATTGATGTAGCGGTGTTTGACTTTCAAAAATGGAAAGATTTTTTCTTAAATAGCCCAACGGTCATTTGAAAACATCGCTGTTCAACAATGAACATCGCTGTTCAAAAACCTACTGCCCAAGACTGACGTGAGCCAATCTGGCCAAAACATAGACGTTCAAATCTCAACATTGCTGTTCAAACATAGATGTTCAAATCCCAACATCGCTGTCCAGACATCTATATTCAAGATCCTATATCTATGTTGGGCCTGGTCGCTAGAACCATGGTTTGACAGCCAACGCCGAAAACCGATGTCAAAAACCAAAGTTCTCCAAAATGAAAACCAAGTGTTGGAAACTCTTATATAATGTATTTAATATAGAAACCAAGTATAAAAACCACTTCATTAAGGTAAAAATCTCGGCTAGCCAAGTTTATGCCGTTTCACATGGTTTTCACCAAAAAACCAAAAACGAAAGGTGGTTTTTAACATGTTTTTGTTGGAGAACCATTTGGATATGTCCAGAAGTAAAAAACAATCATAAAATATTAAAAACCACTTGATTGATTTGGACGCCAAAAACCAACGCCGATAGCCAGCGCCGAATGCCGATAACCAACTCCGAAAAAACAAAGGTTATGGTTTTTGAAAACTAATGATTTGGAAAACCTTTTAATGTGTCCAGAAGCTTAAAAAAAGGATAAAAACCTAAAAACCATTTGGTTAAAATCAATGCCAATAACCAATGCCGAAAATCGAACGCTATAGCCGAACGCCGATAACCGATGGTTATGGTTTTGGTTAAGCAAGAATCATGGGCTTTAGAAACATAAAAACCATTTATGAAAACACTCATTTGATGCATGAAAAACATATTTTTTTTAGCCATGACGTAGAGAAATTGAATGAGCTTGTTACAATAAAAACCTAAGTATTTAGAATACGTCTTCAAAGCGCCAATGCCGCCATCTTTAGCAGCATCATGCCTTTCTTGTGCTTTTTGTTTCTTCAAAGAACCTTTTCTATCTCTTTGAATCTTTTCATTTTGTTCCATGTACCCGACGGTTTGTCAATATCAAAACCTATACGGAAACAAACATTGTCATTAGCAAAATGTCAAAGTGAAAATTTTTTCCAACAATTTCCCCCTTTTTGATAATGACAAACCAAGGAGGGGATATGTAGGCCAAGCTGGGTTTTCAAAGAGAGAGTAATGGTAATTCCCCCTACGTCTTTGAAAACAAGATTCCCCCTCGCTTGTTGCATATACCCAAACACTTCCCCTTTTTGGCATTAGCAAAAAGCACTTTAAAAATATGTAAAGGTATACTCCTTGAACATCGATGTTTGATACTGAACATCGATGTTTGAAAATGTCTTGGAGAGATTTTCATTAGTCCTGGAGCTTCAGATTATCGATGTTTCTATTGCAACATCGCTGTTCGAATGACTTCTGCCCAGTCTCGTCTACTTTTGGTTCCCCTTACATTTGTGCATCGTCTAACGTGTTGGGGTTCCTTCAAAGAATGATTTTAGGTACCCAATGTCTTTTTGGGTCCTTGTGGGTTAAAAATAATCCAATTGTATGAAAAAAATTGGCATCAATTGTAAAAAAAAAATGTAGTAACATAAAACAAACTTCCCCCTTGATGCGGTTCATTGGGTTTCGTGCTTGGAGCATCCACTACAATTTTGTAGTCTTCAAGCACACATACATATGCATCTAAAAATAATTTTTAGGTACCCAAAAACTTTTGGGTCCATGAGGGTTAGGCAAATAATAATCATAGCTATAAAACAAATCCCTGTGTTTGGCAAAACAAACGGGTGCTATGTGTCCTATCTTAGAGCAATAATGGCAAACTACATTTGGATTATGCATATACCTAGGTTGAGTCAAAAACATTCTAGGTGATCTAATGTTATTATTCCTAGAATCATTAATTAAGTTCCTAGACTCATTTCTAGGTTGTCTCAAATTATTATTTTTATTCTTTCTAAAATTAATTTTGTTATTCCTAGGATTATTTGTTCTTCTAGGTGGTTTATCATTCTTAACTTCTTCACCAAGTTTCTTAGGCTCCTCTACCATAAGTTTTTCTATGGTGCTCTTAAGTTTTACATTCTCTATTTTTAAAGACTCACAAGAGGAACAAGTAAAACCTTGGTCAAAGGAAGAATCTTCACTCATTGCCTTAATTTTATTTTTGAGGTTAAAATTATCATTTTCCAAAAAATTATTTTCCTCTTCCAAAGCATGAATTTTTGCCTTAGCCTCTTTGGCAATTTTTGAAGTTTTCTTCAATTCACCAAATAATTCTTGAAAGGCTTCTTGTAATTCTTCAAATGAGAAAGAGTTAGAAGTACTTACCTCTCCATTTTGTTCATGAGCCATAAGACATAAGGCGGCGGTTTCGTCACTGGAACTTTCTGAATCCCATGCCATGTATGCTCGTTCCTTCTTCTTCTTTTCCTTGCGGTTTGGGCAATATGGATTTATGTGGCCAAGTTCTCCACAACCAAAGCACATTGGAACGGGTTCCTCCTTTCTTTTACAATCTCGGGACATAAGTTCTTCCTTCAAAAACTCTTGGAACTTCTCGAGAAAGTTATAAGAAGGCTTATCGTCATCGCTATCGGAGTCACTTACCTCTACCCTTTTTGAGGATGAGGCTTTGAGAGCGAGGCCGGGACTCTTGTCAAGAGAAGGATTAAGAAACAGTACTTCCATTAAGCTTACGGGTGCTTAACAAACAGTTACAACCTGAGAACTCGAGTCCCACGAGCCTCAATAAACTTGCTCGGAGATACCGAACTCCAAGACTTCAACCTGAAGGAATATGCCCTTCCTTCATACAACCAAGGGAACAAACCTCCCTTAAAGTGTTCACAACACTTAACCACTCAAGAACAAAAACTCTCTTAAAGAGTAGAATATGAGTAAACTAATTTTGTAATACCCTAATCCGTCTAGGTCTGCAGCCCCTTTTGGACAAAAGTATTAACTTTGAAATCGTAAAAATTTAAAACTTTTCAAACACTTTTATTTATCACAATAATATTTTTCATAACATATACAGTACGGAGTATTCAACAATATTGCGGAAGCGAATTAAAAATTGACATATCATAATTCATTTCAAAACTTGTCACATCCATCCCGACAATCTCGCCTCATCTGCCACCAGGATCACATTGTTCTTTCTGTTTACCTGCGTGTAGCAAATAAAACATACTACACGCTCAGCGGTAAAGCTGAGTAAGCATATCTAATGCGTCGAACATCCATATAAACTGAATCTAAATTCATAATCAAATCATTTGATATCATGCACACAATGTTCACTTCACACATTCACAGTTTTGATATTATTCAGTTCTTATCATTATATTTTATTCAATTCAGTTATTATTTCGATAGTGCTCTTAAATCGTTCTTAATCTAAGGCCAAATCATAACAATGCTCTTAACTATTCTTAGTCTAAGGCCATATCATAACAACGCTCTTAGCTATTCTTAGTCTAAGGCCAGATCATAACAACGCTCTTAGCTATTCTTAGCCTAAGGCTAGATCATAATTTCTGTTGGGAAAAAATATCATAGATTTTGATGATGATGTATTTAGAATGTAATAGGGACTTTAGGTCTCCTCAGATATTCAATGTAATTTTTAGAAATATTGTTAAAACCAAGTTCTTGGAATTTCCAATTAAGTTGTGATATTTCCTTAAATGGTTTGATGCCTGAAGACTTAATCAAACTCAAAAATTTTGGAAATTGGATATCTTGATCGGAAATATCAGAGACAAGTAAGGATTTCTCAAAACAGACAAAAATCCTCCTATCTGAATATTACATGAAAACCGAATGTCTCATTACAACCCGCTGAAGGCTAAGTCGGAAGACTAGCGCGGATTTCCTTCTCACCAGGAAGACTGAGTATGACTCTTCCGGATTTGTCTGCTAAGAACCGGATGCCTCAGGGAAGACCGGAATTCTCAAAAAGCGGACAAGTGAGAAAAGACTTAGAAAATTATCTAAGTCTTGAATGAAGAAATTCTACTCGTTGGCAAGGAAAAATCAATCTCTTGATTTTCAACGGCTAGATTGAAGATAATTATGCTGATTCAAGAACAAATGACTCGAAGACAAAGTCTGGACCTCTAAGAATTGAAGAACCTGTCCAGAATTCCTATACAAGCACTAGAAGACAAATAGAGTAAAGTTCTACAGTCCAGAATACTTGAACAACAGCTAGAAGACGGACTCGATGGAAAAAGGAATCTCTCCTTTAACAATTGGGTATGTCCAAACACCCATTCCAATGAGGAATCTTCAAATCCCAATCTTCATTCAAAACTGAAGCCAGCAAATGCAACGGATAGTCTATTTTGATTCAACGGATAGATTATCCAATCCAGCTATAAATAGCATCCTTGGAAGACTGGGGAAATATATATACAATAACTCATCAACAATAAGAAGAACAACCACAAAGAGGCTACCTCATTCACAGTTAGCCCAAAAAACATGATAAAGAGAGATTTCTAAACTCCTTATCCAGAAGCAAACTTCTCCTCCTTCCAAAAAGCTATAGTGTAAATACTTGAAGGTTTCCTTGCCTCAAGTACCACACCACGTTGAAGGATACAACTTTTGATCAAACTTATTGATTGAAAGGGGGTAGGTCAACTTTCTTACAAGTTGATCTTGCAAGTCCTATTGTTCGGACCTTGCAATTGTTGAAGAAGCGTGACCTTCGAAGGAAAAACAAAGCCAGCACGAGTGCAGTAGCAACATTGGCCTTGCGAAGATATACCGTGCAGAAATCCACACAAGTGTAATTGTTGGTTCATTATTCAACAACCAACTACATAGTGGATTTTGAGGACGTAGAAGGATTACCCCACCTTCGAACCTCGTTAAAGTTTGCGTGTCTCTCTCTTTTATCTTTATTCTTACTTGCAATTATATTAACTGTGAAAACTAACCCATCCATATTGATTACTGCTCACTCTACACACCAACTTCCGCACATAATCTAAAGTTCACAAGAAATTAACACTCATTTTCACGTTCTCAAAAGAAACAATTGGTGAACTCACCACTTCGGGACCACCAATTGGTATCAAAGCAGGTTTCTCACTATCTACTTTAAGATTAACGAGAAGCGACCATAATGGTGAACAATACGGATCACGGTTTGCCCAAGTTTTCTCTTCTAGGTTATGATGATTGGAAGATCATGATGGAAGCACTTCTCTACGCTCTACATGATTGCATGTGGATGGTGCTTGAGGATGGACCCTTGAAAATCCAAATGGAGAACCCTGAGAGGAATCCAGCTGCTCCAGATGTAGTCCAGTACATTCCAAAGCCCAAAGAAAAATGGGATGATAGATATTGCAAAAAGCACAATCTGGACAACGTTGCCAAAGCAGCCATCTTCAAGACACTTGATCTCATCACCTTCTCCAAGATTAAGCATCTCAAGACTGCCATGGAGATTTGGCAAGGTCTTGGGAAGCTATGTGAGGGATCAGAGGACCTGAGAAAGCAGAAGATAGAAGTCCTGCTTGAGAAGTTCAAAAGCTTCAAAATGCTTCCTGGAGAATCATTTGATATGTTGGATGAAAGATTCCACAAAATATTGAATGATCTTGCCTCACTTAACCACATTCTTTCTCCCAAAGAAAAAAATGTAAGGTTGCAGAGATCACTCCCAACTGAGTGGTACACCAAAGCCACAGCAATGGAAGAAGGAAGAAACCTGGAGAACTACACTGTTCAAGGTCTCCTTGATGAACTCAGAACCTATGAGCACGAGCTGAAAAAGAAGAAGGAAGAACAAGTCACTCCCTTCCCCACTGCATTGATGACAACTTCAAGAATTCCATCAAGTGAAGGGACATGCACAAGAAACTGTGACACATCTTCCTCCAGCCAGCCGTCAAGCTCAAAAATGGAGAACTACGAAGAGGAATTTGCCATGATGGTCAAACAATTCCGGAAGTTCAAGAAGTTCTTCAAGAAGGCTGATTAAATCAGAAGGCCATCCAAGGGAAAGCCACAGGTAAGTGACTCCCCTCCTGAATCTTATTTATGCTATAACTGCTGGAAGCCTAGCCACTGGAAGTCAGCATGCCTGTACCCAAAGGTGGGGAAGTACGGAGAAAGAGAAAGGATCGAGAAGAAAAAGAAAGCAATGGTTGCTGCTGAAAGTGACGAGTCATCCAGCTCAAGCTCAGATGAAGAAGCCCTCGTCTGCATGGAGCGCAGAGTTGAGAAGTCCAACCGTGAGGATAGGTGGACTATGTCAAAAGATGACACTCTCTGCCTAATGGCCAAAGATGATGCTGATCAAGAGGTAACCTCACAAACCTCCTGCACATCTTCTTATAGCACACCAACTTCTGAAAATCTTTTTGACCAATTCAAAAAGATGATGAAAGACTTTGAGGAGATAAATCTCAAACACACATCCTTAACAGAAGAGAACAAACTATTGAGTGAAGAGAATCTCAAGTTGACTGAAAGTCGGAAAAGTCAACTGAATGAGATCACTCAACTCAAGACTGAAAATGAATCTCTCTCTGAAAAGGTGAAATCCCTTAACAAAGGGATAGGGATACTCAAGTCCCAAGAAGCAGTGAACAAGCTGCTTGAAACGACCAAACATAAGGGTCGCAAAGGACTTAGGTTTGACTGCTCTAGTTCCAAAAGGAAAGGGAAGACAACTTTCATCCCTCCTAAACCTACTGCCAAACCTAATATGCAGAAAGGGAAGGAAAAGGAGAAACCAATAGAAGTTCCCAAAAAGGTAGTCCCTCCTAAGAACTATAGGAAGCTGGACAGACCTCAAAAAGAAAACAATTTCTGAAAAAACCTTCTAATTCCCAATATACACGAGGCTATACTCATTATGGGGAAGACAGAAGTTTTCCAAGAAATTCTGAGTGGAGAACTATGCCAAGATATAGTCATCCTCCACCCCAAAAACTATTTGTGCCACCTAAGTGTGCTTATAACCTACACAGGTCACACTATGCACAACCTAGACAAAACTATAGGTCTTATCAACCTAGGTTTGCTAGGAGGAAACAGGAAATTGCACCTCCTACACGTAGGAAGTTTTATGCCTACAACTATGATTACAATCCCAACAAGTTTAGAGCTGCAATGAAAATTTCCTGCAATTTTAAACTTGATGTAGGGACACACACCATTAACCATTCCGGACCCAAACTGAAATGGGTACCAAAATATTCCCCCTCCTAATGTAGAAAGCCGCTAAGTACCCAGGTGTCTGGTACTTAGACAGTGGCTGCTCAAGACACATGACGGGTGATGCGAGCCTTTTGAGCAATCTAATTCCATATGATGGTCCAAGGGTTACTTTTGGAGGAAGCAACGATTTTGGCCTTACTAAAGGGCTAGGAAATCTGGTGTACAAGGGACTAACCATCCAAGCTGTATCTTATGTTGAAGGACTCAATTATAACCTTCTTAGCATAAGTCAGTTTTGTGATAAAGGTTACTCCTTGGAATTCTGCAAGGACATGGCATCTCTCAAGAACATCTCCACAAATGAAGTCATTCTCACTGGGAAGAGAATCAGAAACATCTATGAAGTGATATGGAACGATGTCAAGGAAGCATGTCTAATCAGCAAAGGTGACACTAACCTTCTATGGCTTTGGCATAAGAGGTTGAGTCATCTCAACTTCAAAACTCTCAACAAGCTATCCAAAGAAGGGTTAGTAGAAGGCCTTCCCAAAGCTGTATTCAGGAAGGAAAGCATTTGTGATGCNGTTACTTTTGGAGGAAGCAACGATTTTGGCCTTACTAAAGGGCTAGGAAATCTGGTGTACAAGGGACTAACCATCCAAGCTGTATCTTATGTTGAAGGACTCAATTATAACCTTCTTAGCATAAGTCAGTTTTGTGATAAAGGTTACTCCTTGGAATTCTGCAAGGACATGGCATCTCTCAAGAACATCTCCACAAATGAAGTCATTCTCACTGGGAAGAGAATCAGAAACATCTATGAAGTGATATGGAATGATGTCAAGGAAGCATGTCTAATCAGCAAAGGTGACACTAACCTTCTATGGCTTTGGCATAAGAGGTTGAGTCATCTCAACTTCAAAACTCTCAACAAGCTATCCAAAAAAGGGTTAGTAGAAGGCCTTCCCAAAGCTGTATTCAGGAAGGAAAGCATTTGTGATGCGTGCCAGAAAGGAAAGCAAATCAAATCTACTTTCAAGGCAAAACCGGTACCCTCAACTACAAGGATATTAAGTCTTATCCACATGGACTTATTTGGCCCTGTTACACCAATAAGTCTAAGTGGAAAGAAATATGTCCTAGTGGTAGTTGATGATTACTCAAGATACACGTGGACAATCTTCCTCAACAGCAAGAAGGAGACTCAAGGGAAACTAACCAACTGCATGAAGCTGATTCAAAACCAAGCAAGTCAGACCATTCAGAAGATCAGATCTGACAAAGGCACAGAATTCCTGAATGAAATCATCATTCATTATTGTGAAGAAAACAGAATTCTTCATCAGACATCCGCAGCAAGGACGCCTTAACAGAATTGTGTAGCGGAAAGAGGGAACAGAACCCTAAAGGAAGCAGTGAGAACAATGCTAGCAGAAGCTTCCTTACCAAAGAGGTTCTGGGCTGAAGCTGTTAACACAGCTTGCTATACTCAAAGTAGGAGTATGATTTATAAAAGGCACAACAAAACTCCCTATGAACTATGGAACGGAAGAAAGCCTAATATATCATATTTCCATATTTTTGGGAGCAAGTGCTTTGTGTTAAATAACGGGAAGAATCATCTGAACACTTTTGATGAGAAATCAGATGAAGCCATCTTCCTTGGATACTCTATGGTGAGCAAGGCATTCAGAGTTTTCAACAAAAGAACCATGATCACGGAAGAGTCAATACATGTTATTTTTGATGAAAAATATGTGGTTGACAAGCCATCAAAGCATGATCATGAGGTTCTGGATCTATCTCACAAGGATGACGAAGTCAATGAAGGAGATAGAATGAAGCCTACGGAGTTCATTCCAATCAGAAGTCTACCACTGAAGACTTCACAGAGAAATCCGGACTCAAACAGTGCTGAGCCTACCGGAAATCTTGGCCAGCCTTCCAATATTCCGGATCACTCCAACGGCGACAATTCTGGAAATGGCGACCCAGTGCCAATCCATCCGAAAACACCAACTTTTGTTCTTCAACCAGAAGCTGAACTAGATCAACTAGTCAATCCTAATCAACACAATCTTCGTTGGTTAAGGGATCATCCTCCCCAACAAGTCATTGGAAATATTCAATCTGGCGTTCGCACAAGAAGTGCTCAGCAAAATCTAGAAATTATGCTTGCTTGTTTCATCTCACAAGTGGAACCAAAGAATATTGAAGAAGCTCTAGCTGATTCTGATTAGATCAATGCAATGCAAGAAGAGCTCAACCAATTTTCCAGAAATAATGTCTGGAAACTTGTCCCCAGACCTACTCATCAACATGTCATTGGGACAAAGTGGGTCTTCCGGAAAAAGATGGATAAAAATGGCGTTGTTATCAGAAACAAAGCCAGGTTGGTTGCCAAAGGATATTGTCAAGAAGAAGGTATAGATTTTGATGAAACCTTCGCTCCAGTTGCTAGACTCGAAGCTATAAGGCTGTTTCTAGCCTTTGCTGCTCATAAGGATTTCAAAATCTATCAAATGGATGTCAAAAGTGCATTTCTCAATGGAAACCTCGAAGAAGAAGTTTATGTGGAACAACCTCTAGGATTTGAGTTACACACTAAGGGAGATCAAGTGTATAGACTCAAAAAGGCGTTGTATGGACTCAAACAAGCTCCGAGAGCTTGGTATGACACATTGTCTCAATTTCTCATAAACAATGGATTTATCAAAGGAGTCATTGAAAAGACATTGTTCAAACTACAAGACGGAGAAGATCTCCTGTTAGTCCAAATCTATGTGGACGACATCATATTTGGCTCAACTAAGGAAGATCTCTGCACCAAGTTCTCAACCCTCATGCAAGGAAAATTTGATATGAGCATGATGGGGGAACTCAACTACTTCCTTGGCCTTCAAATCAAACAGAGAAGTGAAGGGACTCTCATCAACCAAGCCAAGTACACAAGGGATCTTATCAAGAAATTCAAAGGTGACCAGAAGTCATCCGTCTCTGTCCCCATAAGTACATCCACCAAGCTTGATATGGATGTAGATGGAAAGGATGTAGATCAAACTCTTTATAGAGGAATTGTTGGATCTCTACTTTACCTTACTGCAAGCCGTCCGGATATCTCATATGCAGTAGGTGTTTGTGCCAGATTCCAGTCAAAGCCAAAGGAAAGTCATCTGATAGCAGCTGAAAGAATTCTTAGATACCTCAAAGGAACTCAGAACATGGGTTTAGGTATGATAAGAGCAATTCGTTTGAATTAGTGGGATACTTAGATTCTGATTTTGCCGGATGCAAAGTTGACCGGAAAAGTACATCTGGTACTTGTCAATTCATTGGTGGAAATCTTGTTTCTTGGTTCAGTAAGAAACAAAACTCCATTTCTACATCTACAGCAGAAGCAGAGTACATTGCTGCTGGTAGTTGTTGTGCTCAAATTCTGTGGCTGAAGCAACAACTACTGGACTATGGAGTCAAGACAAAGGAAGTGACAATCTTTTGTGACAATCAAAGTGCTATAGCCATCTCACAAAATCCAGTGCATCATTCTCGCACTAAGCACATTGATATCAAGCATCACTTCATCAGAAATCATGTGGAAAAGAAAGATATCAAAATTGAGTATATCTCAACTGAAGAACAACTGGCGGATATCTTCACCAAACCACTAAGTGAAGCCAAGTTTTCCGATTTGCTTCACATAATTGGTCTAATTCAATTAGACTTAGTGTGGTACACGTGGGAGTTCATTTTCCACGTCTGTCAAAATGGTGGGTGGGGACGTGGCCTTGGGAACAGTTAAAAACCCAATCGCCACTAGCCGCATAAATCGCCCACATTAAACCCAATCGTCACTATAATCAGACCTCAACTGCCCACTCAGCCCACTCAAATCTTTCATCGTCTTCTTCACGAGAATCTTCAGATAAAATTCTCAAGAACCCTAATTTCTTCAGATCTTCTCAAATTTCCGAGAAAATGAATATTGTTGGCGCTAATATCCATTTCCAGAAGTTGGAAGCCAAGTGCTCCTCATCAACGTTCTATCAATCCTATCTGGAGATGATTGCTGCTCAAGAGCTCTCCGAATTTCTTCATATGGAGATTCAATTCAAGTATGAGAACGAAATTCTTGAATTCTATAAAAATGGAAAGGTCAAGACTGTCAAATCGAAGAAGGACCCACAAAGGACGATTCAAGTCATCAATTCCACTGTTGGAGGGACAAAAGTGAAGCTTTCGCAGAAGAAATTGGGAGAAAAGCTTCACCTTCCCAATTCTGGAGTTGAAATTGGGAGACTTCCAGCCAATAATCTGGATTGGAGCATTATTGGAATTTCTGGGCAAAATCCCTCTAGCCCAGCGAAAAAAGCTCATCTTAACAACGACTACAGGCTAGTCCTTGAACTGGTTATCGCATGCCTCGAATGTGGAAGTGGAGGACATGCTGATGACATCACCCAAGAGAGGGCCTTCATCATCAATGCCCTCATTACCAAGTCTAAGGTAAATTGGGCTGCTCATTTCTTCAATTCCATCTCAAAGCACCTGGGAAAACCCAACCAGAAATACCTTTGTCAAGGTCTATACATTGGACATATCTTGGAGTCCTTGGGTGCTGCTTCTGAAGGAAAGAAGTATGAAGCCAGATATTGGCTGTACTATCTGTCTTCCAAAGGGGAAAACAGAGCTGGTGCTAGCACAACTGCAGAGGAAAGTTCTTCAGACAATGTCCTTATCATGAGTCTGAACAAATCAGTAAAGAGGAAGCAAGTGGTGTCTCCCTCTCCCAGTGTTGAAGTACCACAGAATCTTGCTCCAATCAATCTTGAAGAAGAAGAAGAAATCTCTGACCAAGGAGAACTACAAAGGAAAAAGAAGAGGAAGATCACCTCTCCCTCAACATCTAGACATGTCAATCCGGATGGGATGAAGGAGAAGGAACCTAATGAGGAAACCTCTGCTCACAACCGGAGTCCTCAACAACTTGAAGAAGAAATTCCTCAAGTTCAGAATTCTCCAACTTCCTCACAACCTGAAGTAGATGATGCTGAGAATCAATTCTGGCAGCTCTACTATGACTGGAGAGCTTGGAAAGTTGGAAATTCAGCAGAATAGCTGCTGAGTTGGGACCAACAATTGAAGAATGAAAAGATCATCAAGAAATGCTTAGGTTTGCCAATCAACTATTGCTGTGAGCAAATCCTGGATGTTGACTGGGTATGGCAAAAGAACTATGAAGATTTGCATCTGGAACACTTGGTCACCTCACCAATTTCAGAGATTGAGGTGGATGATGAGGATCCTGCAGTATACAAACCAGTCCTCTCAAAAACAACAGAAGATCGGGTGGTTCTCACTTCTGAAGCACAAGCTAACTTGGAAACAACAGCTGAGGATTTCCAAATATTTCCGGAAGCCTCATCTGCCTTTGAAAGTGTTCTACCTGAAGCTGAAGTCTCTACACCAAAACAGAACCAGGAAGGATCAAATGAAGAACTCCAGCAACTTCTCCATTCTGAAGCTTTAGAGATTCTCACAAATCCTTGTGAGATCACCAATCCTACTGAAGCAGAGATCCCGGAGGAGTCAACAGAAAATCTGGAGATGTCCAAAACTCCAGAAACAAATGAAGCTCAAGAAGAGCAAGCTATAGAAGCCCAGAGAAGTTCTGCAGAAGCTGAGAAGGAAACTCAAATGGCAGAACAGGAGGCCTCCAAATCTCCAGTAGCCATTTTTGAAGGACAGAATGAAGCAGAAGAAAGAGACTCCCTCTCTCGGGATATATCAAACTTCACACTTGGGGAAGCAGAAGAAGAATCTGAAAGAACCCTGAAGATCAATGATGAAGAAGATGTACAAGATGATGCTGAATCTATTCCTATGCAACTCTTCCAAAGAACTCTCTCTTCTCATCAGGTAAACAACTTGCATTTCCATAGCTCTTCCATTCCTACTCTTCCGGATGAGGTACCGGAAATCTGGACAAAGAAGGTCCAAGGGCTGATTGACTCAACCGTAACATCTCAACATGCCTCCTTTAAGCAAGAGATAGAGCAGATGGAAGCCAGGCAAAACAAACTGATTGAGAAATCCGAAGAAACACATTGCTCCAATCTCAAGGAGATAAGCAAATCAGTGGATCAGACTCTAGAGATCTTATCTCTATTGAATAACACTGTGAGCAACACGATGGAGACATATGAATCTGATAGTTATCTTCAACTCAAGGAGGCTAACAACATGAAAGAGCAAGTAGCAAATGTCACAATCAGTCTACAAAAACAAATGTCCATTCTCCAAATGGACATCAGGGCAGCTCTGGCAGTGTCTTCAGCAAATCAAGTAGTAACCAAAGACTACTTGAAGGTAATCATTGACAATCAGAAGGAATCACACAAACTATTCAGACTTCTTACCACAAATTCTGGAAATCGCAAGATTGAAGTGGTTCTTCAACAACACAGTCCATCCTTGATTCCAGAGCTCCCCATTGCAGTCAAAGAAGGAGAAGTCTCTTACATTCCTACGCATCTAAACTTGACTGATCTAGTCCTTGAAGCTCAGAGAACCAATCCGGAAAACTCAACACAGCGCTTATCCAGCTCCGGATTGGATGGAACAGAGGCTGTAGGAACAATTGCTGCTCACTTCTCAAATGAAAATCAAATAGAGGAGAGACGGAACAACATGAGGCGCATCAAAGAACTATGTGGAAACATGCAAGGCATCAGGGAGATTGCCTAATCTTCAAAGCGCAAGAAGCACTGAAGGCTTTTTTCATCAAATCAGGGGGAAAGTATGTGAAAACATTAATTTGCTTTGATGAAAACACCTTCTTATTTAAACATTGCTCTATTGGTTTAAACATTGCCTTAATATTTCTCTTAATTGTGCTCACTATGCTTGATTATATCTAATTCAAGTATGTTTTTGAGATTTATTCTTAGCGCATACATTCAGGGGGAACTTAACTAGTTTTTGTCTAACAATTGTTTTTGGCAATGAATTATTGATAAGCTCTAAGCAATGGAAGACGGATATCTCAGTTTTGGGACTAAAATGGGAAATCTCTGATTCAGGTACTTTACAAAATCTGTCTTCTTAAACTAAGCTTCAGTCCTTAATTCATTTCCAACAAGCTCTAAAAGTACTGGTCCTTAGGATGTTTAGAATGTACAGGACTTTGGAAAAATAGTACCACTTTTCTTTTAAAAATAAAATTCATATTTGTTTTGGTACTACCTCGTCCTAAGTAGAAATTAGAGCTATAGGGAATGAAAAATGATAGCCTTATAGTATATAGCTTTCTTTTCTTTTTGGGCCACTCTTTTGGGCTTAGCCAAATTGAAACAATTATGGTTCTCAAACCAAACGAAACTGATTTTCAAATTGGAACAGTTTCAATTCATTGGTAATTGGTAAAAGATTCCTTCCACTTTTCAACTTCTTGGAAGTTGAAACTCTTTCACTCTCACCGTTCCATCTACCCAATTAATGGAACCCGTGAACCTCCCCTCTCTCTACCTCCTCTCTTATTTAAATCAAGATATCTCAATCCATTCCTATCACAAACAGCTCTTTCAATATGAAAAGTCTTCAAACTCACTGTCTAAGAAACACACCAAGAAAAATATCCTCAATGGAAAAATTGTTCTTTCTCACCCTCATAGACGGCAATGGAAGAAGCCTATTGAGAAGAAAAGACTTTCAAAGTCTATGGTGAGAATCTCGGCAGTAGAGAAGGTCTCTGGTGAAAATCTCGTATTTTTCAGGATTACACCATACACCTTCTCTGGAACAACACTCTCTCTATCTTTCTTCTTATTTTGAGAGATGTGTTGCTTCCAAGATCTTAAATATCCACTTTGGATATTAAAGATCTATCAAACGCAACGCCAACCGCTCAGCCAAGCAGAATGTGCTGAAGCTGAAAACGGTCAATGGCGGAAGAGATCACAAAATCTCAAGACAAGACTTGGTTTAGGAATTATTGTAATGTGAATTGTATTTGTTTAAGAGTTTTTGTTAACAAGCTATATATTATGAGAAACTAAAAGAGAGTTACAAAATTAGTTCTCACTACAGCGACCGGAACTCTTAAACACTTGTTTGTCATCATCAAAAAGGAGGAAATTGTTGGGAAAAAATATCATAGATTTTGATGATGATGTATTTATAATGTAATAGGGACTTTAGGTCTCCCCAGATATTCAATGTAATTTTTAGAAATATTGTTAAAACCAAGTTCTTGGAATTTCTAATTAAGTTGTGATATTTCCTTAAATGGTTTGATGCCTGAAGACTTAATCAAACTCAAAAAATTTGGAAATTGGATATCTTGATCGGAAATATCAGAGACAAGTAAGGATTTCTCAAAGCAAACGAAAATCCTCCAATCCGGAAGACTACATAAGAACCGGATGTCTCGCTACAACCCGCTGAAGGCTATGTCGGAAGACTAGCGCGGATTTCCTTCTCACCAGGAAGACTGAGTATGACTCTTCCGGATTTCTCTGTGAAGTCTTCAGAGGCAGACTTCTGAATGGAATGAACTCCGTGGGCTTCATTCTATCTCCTTCATTGACTTCTTCATCCTTGTCTGATAAACCCAGAACCTCATGGTCATGCTTTGATGGCTTGTCAACCACATGTTTTTCATCAAAAATAACATGTATTGACTCTTCCGTGATCATGGTTCTTTTGTTGAAGACTCTGAATGCCTTGCTTACCATGGAATATCCTAGGAAGATGGCCTCATCTGATTTCTCATCAAAAGTGTTCAGATGATTCTTCCCGTTGTTTAACACAAAGCACTTGCTCCCAAAAATATGGAAATATGATATATTAGGCTCTCTCCCGTTCCACAGTTCATAGGGAGTTTTGTTGTGCCTTTTATAAGTCATACTCCTATTTTGAGTATAGCAGGCTGTGTTAACAGCTTCAGCCCAGAACCTCTTTGGTAAGGAAGCTTCTGCTAGCATGGTCCTCACTGCTTCCTTCAGGGTTCTGTTCCTTCTTTCAGCTACACATTCTGTTGAGGTGTCCTTGCTGCGGATGTCTGATGAAGAATTCCGTTTTCTTCACAGTAGTGAATGATGATTTCATTCAGGAATTCTGTGCCTTTGTCAGATCTGATCTTCTGAATGGTCTGACTTGCTTGGTTTTGAATCAGCTTCATGCAGTTGGTTAGTTTCCCTTGAGTCTCCTTCTTGCTGTTGAGGTAGATTGTCCACGTGTATCTTGAGTAATCATCAACTACCACCAGGACATATTTCTTTCCACTTAGACTTATTGGTGTAACAGGGCCAAATAAGTCCATGTGAATAAGACTTAATATCCTTGTAGTTGAGGGTGCCAATTTTGCCTTGAAGGTGGACTTGACTTGCTTTCCTTTTTGGCAAGCATCACAAATACTTTCCTTTCTGAATGCAGCTTTGGGAAGACCTTCTACTAACTCTTCTTTGGACAGCTTGTTGAGGGTTTTGAAGTTGAGATGACTCAACCTCTTATGCCAAAGCCATAGAAGGTTAGTGTCACCTTTGCTGATTAGACATGCTTCCTTGACATCGCTCCATATNCATTTTCAGTCTTGAGTTGAGTGATCTCATTCAGTTGACTTTTCCGACTTTCAGTCAACTTGAGATTCTCTTCACTCAATAGTTTGTTCTCTTCTGTTAAGGATGTGTGTTTGAGATTTATCTCCTCAAAGTCTTTCATCATCTTTTTGAACTGGTCAAAAAGATTTTCAAAAGTTGGTGTGCTATAAGAAGATGAGCAGGAGGTTTGTGAGGTTACCTCTTGATCAGCATCATCTTTGGACATAAGGTAGAGAGTGTCATCTTCTGACATAGTCCACCTATCCTCATGGTTGGACTTCTCAACTTTGCACTCCATGCAGACGAGGGCTTCTTCATCCGAGCTTGAGCTTGATGACTCGTCACTTTCAGCAGCAACCATTGGTTTCTTTTTCTTCTCGTTCCTTTCTCTTTCTCCGTACTTCTCCACCTTTGGGTACGGGCATGCTGACTTCCAGTGGCCAGGCTTCCTGCAGTTATAGCATAAATAACATTCAGGAGGGGAGTCACTTACCTGTGGCTTTCCCTTGGATGGCCTTCTGATTGAATCAGCCTTCTTGAAGAACTTCTTGAACTTCTGGAATTGCTTGACCATCATGGCAAATTCCTCTTCGTAGTTCTCCATTTTTGAGCTTGACGGCTGGCTGGAGGAAGGTGTGTCACAGTTTCTTGTGCATGTCCCTTCACTTGATGGAATTCTTGAAGTTGTCATCAATGCTGTGGGGAAGGGAGTGACTTGTTCTTCCTTCTTCTTTTTCAGCTCGTGCTCATAGGTTCTGAGTTCATCAAGGAGGCCTTGAACAGTGTAGTTTTCCAGGTTTCTTCCTTCTTCCATGGCTGTGGCTTTGGTGTACCACTCAGTTGGGAGTGATCTCAGCAACCTTACATTCTTTTCATCCAACATATCAAATGATTCTCCGGGAAGCATTTTGAAGCCTTTGAACTTCTCAAGTAGGACATCTATCTTCTGCTTTCTCAAGTCCTCTGATCCCTCACATAGCTTCCCAAGACCTTGCCATATTTCCATGGCAGTCTTGAGATGCTTGATTTTGGAGAAGGTGATGGGATCAAGTGTCTTGAAGATGGCTGCTTTGGCGACGTTGTCCAGATTGTGCTTTTTACAATCTCTATCATCTTATTTTTCCTTGGGCTTTGGAATGTACTGGATTACATCAGGAGTTGCTGGATTCCTCTCAGGATTCTCCATTTGGATTTTCAAGGGTCCTTCTTCAGGCACCATCCACATGCAGTCATGTAGAGCGTAGAGATGTGCTTCCATCATGATCTTCCAATCATCATAACCTAAGAGAGAAAACTTGGTCAAACCGTGATCCATATTGTTCACCATTATGATTGCTTCTCGTTAATCTAATCGTAGATAGTGAGAAGTTTGCTCCGATACCAATTGGTGGTCCCAAAGTGGTGAAATACAAAGTCTAGAGGGGGGGTGAATAGACTTTGTTACAGATTTAAAATCTTTTTCGTTTCTTTTAAAAACGTGAAAATGAGTGTTAATCTAGAGTTCTTGTGAACTTTAGATTGTGTGTGGAATTTGGTGGGTAGAGTGAGCGGTAATCAATATGGATGGGTTAGTTTTCACAGTTAATATAATTGCAAGTAAGAATAAAGATAAAAGAGGGAGACACGCAAACTTTAACGAGGTTCGAAGGTGGGGTAATCCTTCTACGTCCTCAAAATCCACTATGTAGTTGGTTGTTGAATAATGAACCAACAATTACACTTGTGTGAATTTCTGCACGGTATATCTTCACAAGACCAATGTTGCTACTGCACTCGTGCTGGCTTTGTTGTTCCTTCGAAGGTCAAGCTTCTTCAACAACTGCAAGGTCCGAACAATAGGACTTGCAAGATCAACTTGTAAGAGAGTTGAC